TTTTTTTTTTACTTTTTTGCTCCTCCGCCTTGCCTCTCTTCTGCAAAGTCCTTCATCCTGCAGAAGCGGCAGTATGCGAGACAGGAAGGCGGTGCGATCCTCCTCGTTAGGAGGGACGAAAGGAATGATGAAAAGAAAGGGGACGCGTCAGAGACGGAGCCTCCAATTAAATGGCAGATGTATCGCAGAGAAGTGAGTACTCTTCTCGCTCCCCTCTGGTATGGCAGTACCTCCTTCCTCTTGCGCTTGTTTCTGTTGAGTTGATGTAGATCTTCTCAGCACGGATTCTCTGCGCATGTCGAGACCCCAACACCCCTTTCTGGGTGCATCCCTCTAGCGGATATGGCTGTGGCTGCAGCTGTTTGTTCCAACACACCACGCCGTCCAGTACTCCAGCTAACGTGAGCGAGAGCTACGTCCCCGCCCTAATGGGTCTGTAAATGTTGTTTTTGTCGTTGATGTCGCTGTTGCTGCTGAAGCAGACAGAACGTGATGCCCATCGTACAGCTAATAGGGAGAAATAGCGAAGCGGAGAAAGGAGCTTGGCGGCAACACAGAAGAGCAGAACGGAACCGCTGCGTCGAGAGAAATCGAGCGAGTAGACACATGAATGAGCCTGGTATTGTTCTCCGTACCCCGTTTTTATTCATGGGCCTATTTCCCCCCAATTATTTGCCCATATCTCCCCCAAACAGATCAAGAAACAAGCATTAAAAACATATAATTGGGCTCGTTTACCCTTTTTTTTTCGACCAGCAAAGTGCTCTCACGCGGTGTCCTCACTTCGAGCAGCAGCAACCGCAGCTCCACTGAGAAGCAGCACGACGCAGGCATACGGGCGGCCACATCATCCCTCATCTGTTGCCCTATTCCCGCAGCAGCAGCGCACACACGGTGTATGTGTGATTGTGGGGAAGGTGGGCCTTCCGCTTTTGGGGCGGCACACCCCTACCCCCGTGCGGAGTCTTGAGAGCGGGAATGCATCCGTGAATTCATAAAAGCAAAACACAGGCATATAAACAGCCGCACATAAAGGCACTGATACCAAACAAGCGGCACAGCGAGGGGGGAAAAACACCGAGAATCCCTCACACTTGCACCTACGTGTGCGAATATATGAATAACATGCCACAGGAGACACGGAGGAGCCCACGTATACCACACGCCCACAGAGGGAGGGAGGGAGGGAGGGAGCGGGGTGATGCATACACGAACGCAAATGGATACAGATTCCCATCTATGTTCGCTCCCCCGAGAAAAACTCTCACCCAAATCTCCTTCAACACCGATTCAAAAACAAACAAAAAATTCGATTTGCGTGGGGTGCCTTGTACCCTCTTCGTGTTTTCTGTGCGGAAGCCACTGCGTCGCCCTCAGCATCCGTTCAACAATGAGCAGTGAATGCGACACGCATATAAAAAAACAAAACTTTGAAACAACGACGGTGGTGAAACATAGCACCGTCATGATACATACTAGCAATGACGAACACACTGAGTCGCAAATGGTGGTGTGCTTTTCCCACCGTTAGCAGTGAGAGCCCAGGTGTGTATAACCCTGAACCACGTTAGCGGGTTCAACACGCGGGATCGATGTCCTCCTCACGGGAAAAACAAGGCAAGACTCAACGGCGCCTCACTTTCTTTTTTGTATGTTGGCTTCGCTTCGTTGCTGTTTCTTCACTACTGTCTCGTTATATTCGCATCAATGCTACACGTATCCAGAGAGCGGCCACATACAACAGCACACACAGGAGTCAACATATGGATCCCAGGACAAAAACAAAAGCAAAACACAAACACAAGTGACTTTTTTTTTTCAGACAAAAACAAAAAAACAAGGCATACCAACAACAGACTGGCAGATACGGAAAAAATCGGGAAGTGGAGTTCTGTTCACCCCGTCCCTCTGAAATAGGGCATTCCCCTCGATAGGAGGAGCCCTGATCTGCAGCCTCCCCACCGTGCATATAAATGATCGTGGGCGGTCATACATGATAAGATAAATTTCTCGTTTTTTTTTTTGCCTGCTCTTTGTCTATGAAGGCGAACGGGGTGTCCGTGTTGGTGTACGTTTGCATATATGTATATATATATATATA